GGAAATATCGCAGAGTCGAAAAGGTAGGCACACACATGAGTCCCACATGTAACATCACGGCTCTGAGGAAGGCGAAGTCGCCGAAACGTCAGCCTTCGACCAACAACGTCATCAAAAACGAAAACGACAACGAAGAACTATACCAACCTCACATCAACTTGAGAAGATCAGTTTATATAAGATCATAAAAATAAATAATCCTATCTGTTTTTAAATCCATTATTTACACAAATAAATTAATAGATACGTGAAGGCATACATTTACACACCGTACTCTCTCCTAAGCAACACGATCAACACAGCATTTACTGATAATAAGCAAGTAGTATATGACATAGATTGCTTCTATGGCACTGTTATAAAAATCAAGCTGTCTATGTCAACAATTCTTCCACTATTTAGTAAGTGCTATGGACCTAATAGATGGCTTTAGGTACGCTGTAGATAGACCCCGAAAACCTTACGCAACTGTTTACGTAATTCTATGTAGTCCTACGAATTTTTGGAGCACGCTGCAAACGTTATGGTGTAACCTTTCCCGCTTATTCCAGAAGTCTGACGATTTTCTTTGGAAGTTTGTCGAGGTGCTTGAAGAAATGGTTATTAAATTGTGCAATAGTGCGAAGTCCGATGATTAATATGCTGGGAGAGGCAGAGTTTTGTAGCCTAGCTGTTCCAGTTATTGATACATGGTCATTTACCTTCGGCAGTGTTATTTTGCAGTCAAACATTCCTATTCAGGAGGAGTGGACCTTTAAGGCTGATCAATTCTGGAAACAAGTGCTGCAGTTTTCCAAGATTTCGTGACAATATGTTGCTTTCTTTCCAAACATTCCTGAGAGTTATGATGGATTAATCTGTAACAGGCTACAAAACCCTCACGAAAGCCTCGTTTAAGTGCAAAATCGACTTTGGGAAGTGTTCTTTCAGCTTAAATTCAATCTAACTGTACTGAACGTCACCGATTGGCTTATAGCATAATATTTTCATTCCTCAATTAATGTTAATTCAACATTTTAATATTTTTGCACATTACTATAATATCAATAATAATACAACCACAACGATGTTGAGATAATCGCAATGCTTGGACCCAGGGCCAGATCGAACCATGATTACTTTTTCCAGGGGCCCGCGTATTACACACCGCACCACCGCTAAAATTTTTTTTGTGATTTCGATTACAGACTTAGCTTAACTGGGCTCACAGCCGATTTTTGCGTGGCAGATCAATCTCGTTGACGGGTGATTGTTGATGTAGCTGAGAGAAACTCAAAATAAGTGCCTCAATGGTGCAGCGTGTTATACGGGAGCCCCCAAAGGGTAATCGTGACTCGATCTGGCCCAGGATCCAAGTTTTGCTAATTTCTTAGCACCACTGTGGTGGTATTTCATATCATACCCTGCAACCAAAATACGTTCTACTTGGTTTATCACACAACTACTATATTTTACATTGTTATTTGTATATATTTTATACAAATGTTAACGTTAGCCTTTTATTTGCTGCCTACTATAATTTTTCACGTCAAGGTATGATGTGAAACACAACCAGTGACATACTTGGATGACTCCTCCTCACTGGTTGCGCGGGCCCCAGCATAATTTCAATTTTTATGGAGTTTTGTTGGTTTAAGCATTGTGTTTCCCTGGTGTCGCTAGGTCAGCCAGGCCAAAATCTGTTCCAGGTCTTCACCACCGCAGGCAGTCCCCAACCATGTGGATCAGAAGGACATTTACCCCATGAGACTAGTTTTATACCAGGACGGTGGTAGATCCTGGTATTGGTTTACTACTAGCTAGGCTTCCTGATGGAAACGCAGGACTCTTTTTCAGCTTAGGAGACCCGGCCAAGGGGATGAATCCACCTCTGTACCTCGCAGTCTGACACCCAGGAACACCTCCCAGCCACGATGAGGTGGTAAAGCGTTGGGAGGTTGTTGGATATTATATATATGTATATATATATATATATATATATTTATATAATATATACCAGGCCCAGATGGTGTGGTGGTGAAGTGCGCTACTCCCCGGAAAGGACAATAGCGCACTTTCGTTCCCCACCGCATACACCTGCGGTGCGGAGTTTTGCAAATATCTCAGCATTATACATAAATAGTTATGTATTCTAAATCTTTAGTATATAAGTGGTATCGGGACTTTGAACAAAGAAATAGTTTATCGTTGGATCATCTTTTAAAATCGTGTGTCATAAATACACTTTAAGTATTAAATCCATGATAATTGAGCTCAGAAATATCTCTGGATTTACGGTGATATGAGGAATGAGCGAAGATTACTAAAGATCAGTAAGAGGTCTGTGAAAAAACCCACCCACAGACATTACGAAAGATAGTACTGAAGAAGAAAACGAAAAAATCTATGTCTATAAGAAATCTAACCTATCCAATGAAAAAATGCAAATAGTGAAAATGAGAAGTATCGGCAAGCTTTTACTATCTAATATTACGACCAGAAGTATGCGTTAGTTGCTAAGGGGGTGTTATCAATCTCGTATTAAATAAAGGATAAAATTGAGACAGCGCTCCACATAGTGTGTTCTTTCATGAACAGAATAATAAAAACCATCAGCATCTTTATCTCCGGTGAGAGATATCCAAGAGTAGTTTCCTGGGATTTGTCGTGTGGGCTGGGCACACTTATAAGTTATTGAGGAATGTACAAGCGAAGTAATCTTTATACTAAGGCTCTCTATCTTTGTTTTTTCGAAGAGTAATATTCATGGATCTGCATTAGGAACTTGGCTCTTTATTTATGGATTATCAAAAAGAAGAAGAGACAAGAAACAATGCCCTGTACTTTGAACACTTTGATCGCCAAATTACAATTCTTTAAGTTAACCTCAAACATGGGCAAGCAAGATTTTTACTTGTCAAAGATCTAGTGGAGAACGAGATCGATAACTTTGGACAGACTATTTATTTTTGACGTACATCTCTCGCTGTTCTGCTGAAAGCTAATAGATATTATGTTCTCTTAGCAGTACGAATTTGTGCAGAATTGAAAATTCGTACTTTCATCAATCTGCTACATCCATACTTCCTTCTGAAACCCAATATATTGCTGCCTTGCTAAAAATAGCATGTTTTATTTATAGGGCAGCGTATATGTAGAACTTCATCTATTGCGATCCGTGAGGAATTAAATGAGTCGTGTAGATATTTGCGAATACAATGAATAAAACATCCAAATACGCAAGGATGACACAAAAACGGTCCATTTCGATTTTGGCACAACAACTTTATAGGCCAACTTTATTGTATTAGCATTGAAATAGTGCAAAATTAGTGAGATGTATAAGAGCAAGAGGAAACAATTGGCCATTGTGTGACTTCTGCTACGTTCGGAACAGCGCTACGATTTTTACTTGGCGCGGTTATTAAATCATTTAGCTTCAATACTTCAAAATACATTTAATAGAAATTTTAGCTCTTGCGCTCTGTCATGTCGGGTGGTCCATTTCATCCGCGTAAGTACTACGAATATTCTCTTTGTTACTAAACACATAAACATAGTGCGAAATCGTCAAGTAATTTTCACTTAAGCATTTGGATGTCTACGAAACATAACGTTAAGCGATCAAAATAGAACAGAAGCTCTCAACCCGATCAACCAAATACGCTCAAGTGTCGCTCTAGGAACATTTAAAGCGAGGGCTTTTCTGCCTTCTGGAAGTGACATGGACAAATTGGTAATTTTGTCATTCTGCCTTCTACCTCATGGAGTTATAGCTCGAACTTCAAGGTATTATACAATACATTCACAAAACATTTTCGCATTCATGTGAACGTAATCCACATAAGCACACAATGCAGTTGCATGAGTGCTGAACTCTACAGGTGTGGAACTGCTCCCTCGAGGAAATCGCACAGAACCTCGTAACCGGCTGCCCAACAATCCCACGGCCATCGCCGCCTGGATTCGGGAGCAATTATCAGCTGCAAGCTCAAAAAAAACAACGCTCCCACAAACACACATTTCCCGCGCCGTTTTTACCGCCCTTGCCACATGGGATGACGCGTGATTTTCAGCCATTACGAAGGTACTCTGTTCTTTCGAAAATACGCGACGGTTTTTTTTTTTAATAACGAGAGAACTTAAAGGTTGAGAATATGACAGGGTTGTAGAGTGGACTTTGATCTGCCGCACTATTTGCAGCTTCTTTCCTTTACCGTATGTTGCTGTGATCCATCATTTAAGTACAATGCTTCCAGTATATGGAAGTTTTTATACTGCGTCTATTTCGCTACAACGATTTCTCCAGTAACTATGATTGATTATAGCGATAAGAAGTGAAGTAAAAGTCATTTGTCTCTCGAATAACCAGTCAATGAACTCGTTCAAGAAAAGGTTGTTGTCATATATTTCTGAGCGCAGAATTGCACCTTCCCGTCTATCGCCCACTACAACATCTGTGATGGATAAGTTATCGACCGATTACAATAAGTCGAGGAGAACGGTTCTGTACTCCAAAATAGAACTTCAGAAAGAAAATTACCGCTATGTACCTCATATCGGTCATTCAAGGCGACCATTATGGTTGTGTGGATTGTACAACGCCATTATGCGTTAAAAGCCGTAAAAATATAAATCCTAAAAAACTTTCACAATAATATAAAATTCAAAGAAAAAAAGAGAAAAATTTTCTCATTAAAGTAATCATTCTGGTGTGAAATTATACAGAAGCTGTGTTATTCGCATCTAAACTACCCATTACGCTGCTAACAGATTAAAGTTTGGTTTTCCCAATTGTATTAACACTATGGCTCTAACTTTTACCAGTTTAGTTTCGCACAAGGTTCTCCGTTCGATCTAATCTGTTTCCCCTCCAGGCCGCAATACTGGTATGGTCTGAAATTCCCAACGAGATGTGGCCATCTAACAACACCTTCAATGGCAACCCAGCATTGTTTCATTTTGCCAATGTACGTTTATTCGGTGTTATCTTTTGAAAAAATTTTCACCGTTTTTCCCAGATGATTCTTGCGAATACAGTTTCTGTTGGATGTTTCGGCGCAATGTGTGTTGGGAGTTCTGCTGCAGCATGCGTCTTCTCGTCACCGTGAGTAAGACAAAGCCCAATCTCATATTCACACTCGAGAAGATTCTTTTAGCAACCTTTTGATAATGTTTCAGAGATGTGAGCTTTGGGCAGCGGCTCTACACGTCTGGAGAACCGTGTCGAGATGACATCCAATGTACCGGATTCAGTCCTGCATTCTGTGAAGACGGATTATGTGTTAACGATGTTAAGCCAAATACAACAGCTGCACCAACAACAACTACAACAACCACAGCCACAACCACTACCACGACCACAAAACAACTAGAAAAAGAAGTACTGACTGCCCGAGCAAAGTGTTCACAATCACCTTCAGAGAGATAGCTCTGGGAATGCTTAATAATTCTAGGTATTTCGTCACAAAAAATGTACTCGATCTACATGTTTGACATTTTTCAGGTTCCAACCGAAATCATCTCTAAAATTCACTATTTCTTCTTTAAGTAGGAGATTATTTTTAAAACATGTTCGCTTACTCACTTGGATACCTCCACACTCGAGCGGGGCGTCTTCACGAATTGTACGGATCCTAGCACATCTTCCATTTGTTTCTTTGCCTTGCAATCGTCGTCTGTGGTGGTGCTTTGATATGTTCACTACGATTTGATTATTCAAAGATGGACTTATAGCTTAAAAACTAGAATGAAGAGCGCTAATGTTTAGATCTCTTGTAGCAAGAGGTCTAGCAAAGAACGGAGAATATCCAAGTGAGAACACACCACCGGCTTCAAGAATGGACTTGATGGCGCACTCGTAGGTTTTTCTTTTAGGGAGCCTTTTCCATAGTGTCGTCCACAGTGTTTCAGGAATATGACTGTCCCGCAGAGCAGTTTGCACTTAATCATGTGGTATTATGCGATAAAAAGCCATCACCACCCTACGCTCATCCCGGTTACAGCGAAAATATTCATGTCCCAGCAATGACTGCGACTGACTTGCTGGGAGCCATTCAGAATGTGGGTCACGAAAAACCACACCCTAATAGACGATAAGAATATTTATATAGCGCTGGGCATTATACATAGTTAGTCAGGAGTATATGTAGATAGCTATTCCTCTAAAAATATAAGTTTATTAGTCTCATACAAGTGGTCTCCTTCTTATCTTTGCAAACATAGGCTATTGCAACGTTTACTAGAGAACTTACTGTGAATGGTATTGCTTCGAACATGGTTCTAACGCCTCAAATATTCCACCGTACGACAAGAACAGTTACCAAGGTTTGTATGACCACCAGAATACCTTTAATTGCAAGCGTCGTCAAATCCAAAATATAGAAGGCATTTGTAGGTTCTATGGGCAAGCAATAGGTTTCTGGCCTGCGCAACTCATCTGTGCAGGGGATTTTATTTCACTTCTTGCATTTACCGAAATCCGTAAGTCATAGCACTTGTTTGCTTCGTAAAATCTAGGAAAACATTCCCCTCGCTTCAGAGTGAATGTAATCGGACAGAGCATCTACCCTATCGGTGCAGTGTGTAGCACCTGTCCAACTGGTCCCAAAAATTGCAACCCGGCTATTGGACTGTGTTCTTAATAAGGAATACGTTGTGAAAGCTATTCACAAGTGAATAGCATGCGTCTACAGCAGTGTCTAAAAATCTTTGCAATTTGTAATCTTATCTTTTTCGGAAGTAGCTTACCACTGAGGATTTTATAACGTCTTACCTCATATTTCTGGAAATACTTTCTATAATATTAAGTCGGCTTCAGCATTTTCTTGTTAAGAAAACGAAATCCAGCCTTCTCATATTTCTTAGACATTCGAATGGCCCTTTACGTGTAGTTTCAAGTGAATAAATTCAACTAACAACATTTGTCACAATAGTAAAACCGATAACAATGCATGCTGACAGGAGCAACTCTGATTTTCTTGTATTGTTCAGCTCAGGTTACTCTGTTTAGTAAAGTACAATTTCGACTGTTGAGAATGAATTTTGCTGTGAGGAGCACCCAACAAATTGCTCACACATTACCGCTGTGTCCAGAAACTAATTGGAGATGATAGAAGGATGAAGCTCTCGGGGTTAATCAATTCCTGAGGGATGCGCCAGCCAGTGCTGTTCCCTCCCAGACAAGTCTGGTACCAATTTGCCGACCCCGGAGGGATGAAAGGCTCGATGTGCCATGGGCACGAGTATCCATTCCACGTGTTGGTGCCTCCAACCACTGCGCCACACGCGCCCTAGCTAGCATATAGCGAAATAATGCATTAGAATAGCTAGCGTACAGCGATGAAATACTGATGTAAAACTTTCAGTTAACCTTGGCGTAATCAATCAATATGTTTTCTTGGATTGTTCAGCTTAGCTCAAGCATTCTGTAAAAGAGGTTACCACATTCAAGCGTAGCTTCACTCAAAAACATTAAACTCGATACGCCTACAAAGACGCACAACCCGAGAACAAACGGCTGTACACTATCGATTCGGATCATCGGGTCTGAAAAACATGAAGACGTTAAAACTTTAGCCGAATAAAAATTATACAACAACCTCATATAAGCCGAGCAATCCAAAGAAAGATACTAATCATTCACTCCGACGTCAAGTAAAGTGCAGTTTACTATACAAACAACAATGTTTTAACTTTCACCAGTTACTTTTCCATGCCACGGTATTATTTGGAACACAACCACAGGTATGCCGAGATGTGAGCATAACTCGGAACCTCAGAAGAGCTACGATCCAATCATAATCCTTTCCGAGGCTCATGTGCTATCCATTACACCAACCAAGACTCTTACTTTGCCTTGCTGTCGGTCACTTTTTTTTTTACTACAGCTGTATTATCAGAGTTCTGTTCTCTGAGTTGAGTTCACCTCAGCAACCTTGTGGTTGTTTTCGCATAAAACTCTACTACGAAGAAAAAATAGGTAGTAAATAAAAGTTAAAATATTGTAGATCCCACTACAGCTTCAGCTTAACTGCGTTCAGTGCTGACTTGTACTCCTCAGATCACTCCTGTTGACTTGTGATTGCTGATGGCACCGATAAAGTACAAACATGACCTAGATAATGCCAAAAATGGGCCTCGTTTAGTGTAGTGGATACCATGTGAGCCCTCCGAAAGGGTGATCTCATGAGGTGATTTGAAAGCAACTACGTTGTCAATAAATTTAATCAACTCAAAAAACCTGTACATCTAAAATCTTGTAGGAAGTTTACGTTAGAAGTTTGTAACTTTGGGTGTAGAAGAAAATTTCTATCTTTGAGATAACCTAACACTTTCAGATTATTCACGTACATCAGAATGAGCTGCTTATAATTAACAACGGCATTTTGAAGAATGCATTGCTTGGACGAATATCACTATGTATTTTTACACTGCTCATTCTTTATTCGGCATTGAATTCTGCAACTTCAGTTTTTGTCAAGTAGTTTGTGTCAGCTGTGTCAGTGTCAGCTTGTTTGTCGGTAAGTTTGCTATGCTTTGAACATTCGTAGAATAACTTCTCCATCCCATTTGAAACAAGCATGCAACGTCGATAACCAAATCGGGAACACTTGAAATTACCTGTAGAACTTCAACGATGCTCAGATATTTGCAAAACTCCGGAGCGTAGCTGTTTGCGGTGGGGAACGAACGCACTGTTGTTTTTTCCGGGGGCTAACGCGTTCACCACCACACCATACAGGTCCTTCGCTTCTCCTATCTCTCATTAGGCATATTGCATGTGTATTGCACGGCGCCTACCACTATACGCGCCCCTACGCTACGAGTAATGCAATAAAGGGTAAAAATTTATTATTGTAACCAACATAACTTTACCAGGGTTTGAAGAGGGGGAAATCCACCGAAACTCCACTTGTGGTGCATAAATAGTGCAATAACAACCTACAGTCGGCCCATTAAAAAAAACTAAATAACAGCGTAGTTAAAACAAAAACATAAGGACCATAACAAAGCATAAACACCAGAGCATAACAACAAAGCGAGAACCATCGACTCGGATCATCCGCTCTGAGGAAGACGAAGATGTCGAAACGTTAGCCGAAAGTAAACATCATTGTCAACCTCGTGTAAGCTCATCAAAGAAAGAAAACAAGAACAGTTCCCAGGATCGACTTTCTATTAACCTCGGCATTGCAATAGGAATGCGTCGTTTTCTTCCTCAGCAATGGCGAGGTTCTTAAACAGCATACGTTTACTTCCATACAATAACACACATACAATACCATCGTAGCTGACGTTTCGGCAGAATCGCCATCTTCAGGGCCTGGTAGGGTACACTAATACTAAACTCACTAGGACAAACGCTTCAACAGCACAAACAGAAAGACGAAAATCTGAACGATAATTTCAAGTTCTATGGCTGCTCGAAAAACCCACCACTTTTTCACCTGTCTTCCACCGAGTAAGAACAGCCGCTCAGGGTCGCATATGGTTGACGACTGCACCACCCCACATCAACGACCGATACGAACGTACAGGGCGAAATCACGTGTGATCTGCATTTTTCCCTGCTATTCATTGTAGGATTTTTGGCAATTATCCAGTCCAGAAAGCCTCAAAAAGCTTGGATGTTGGTGTTTTAGGATCCCGTGCGAGGATAGCGACTTTTACATCAAAATCTTCTCCGCTATGCTTTTGTATTCTATGCGTTCCTAGTGGGGTACTTTGTCTTAGTTTTCGTTTACCATCGAGCTGTTCCTTTATGCGGATGCATAGAGGTCTGTCCGTTTCGCCAATATATTCGCCTCCGCGAGTACCACAAGAGATCAGGTATGTCGTACCTGAACTCATGCAGTCACCGTCCCTACCGTAAGGGCAAACTACACAATTCTGTGTTTCTCATAGACGGTCACATAGGCGGTTACGAATTAAATGACGGAGAAGAGTATTCGGTGGTATTCCATTTATCGCTACCGATTCCTCTACATCTGCCCTACTCAAGCATTGCTTTATCGCTACATTTATTTCATCGCTAACAAAGGGCAATATGAAAGTAATTTTGTTAAAGCAATACCAACGTTTTGAGGCGTGGCTCTCCTTGTAAACTTATCTCGTGGGGCTACTATTTCGTAGCCATTGGAGATGGCTATTTGCCGAGCCAAGTCGCGCGATT